GTAGCTGCATAAAATAATCATAATGGCAATATCTAAATCATGGGTTTTTTAAAAAGACAGAACTGAAATACTGGACATGGCAATTAGCATGTAAGTCAGGAAGAGTGTTCCAAATTGATAGGTTTTAATAACTTTTTTTAAAATATTTTATTTATTTATACATATAAGAACTGGGGCACAGGCCAGAGGTGTGGGAGGTGAGAGGATTCCCCAGAGACAAAGTGGGTAACAGAACAGGCAAATTGACTGAAATACACTGCTGAGGGGAGCGGCGGGCGAGACAGGAGAGGTCTGGTGTGCCATGTGGGTAGCTCCCTGGCCGGGGATTAAACTCGTGCTGCAGTGGCTGTGGCAAGCTTCATAGTTTGCATCTTAAGCCCTTGTGCCACCAGGGAGGCCCCAAATTGATAGGTTTTAAATAACTCTTACTGTTTGGGAGAGGGCATTAGAGCTTGATTAACACTAGGTTTTAAGTTAAATATGCAGAGTCCATTTGCAAAGGTAGTTACTAATAGGTGTTCTAGAATGTGAGTGGGAAGTGGAATCATCGGGGGGTGGGGGCAGAGGCTTCCTGAAACCAGGATGAAGAGGCTCCACTCCCAGAGTTTCTATTTGAGTTCTAGAACCACTGCACCAAACAGAAATTACAAGCTGAGGGGAGAGAAAACGAGCAAACAAAAACAGCTCCCCTCCAGACCAGTCTGTGCTGTAGAAATATGCAGATCAAAAACTTAATTTTATATTTTCTAGCGGCCGCATTAAAAAGTAAACAGAAACAGGTAAAATTAATTCTAGGAATAGATTTTACTTAATCCAATAGGCTCAAAATATCATTCCATATGTGACCAGCATAAAAATGATTGCGGTTTGGGCCTTCCCTGGTGGCGCAGCAGTTGAGCGCAGCCTCTGCAGCACCAGTTCGATCTCCAGCTACTGGTGAGGGTCCCACAAAAAAAAAAAAAAAAAAAAGATTGAGGTCATTTGCATTCTTTTGTTTGCACTAAGTCTTCACCATCCAGTCTTTATTTTATACTTTCCACACTTAATTGGACATCACCGGCACTCAGTATCCACATGTGGCCTGTCACCCACTGGATAAGCAGGTCCAGGGTGTCAGGGACCTGAGCTGAGTGGCCCTGAGGGCCACTGTGTGCCAGGCAATAAGCGGAGCCCACCCTCACACAGACCTGCTGGGTCTACATCAGCCCCACTCCTGATGGGGAGAGCAAGGCTGAGAACCTCTCCTCCCCAAGAACATCTGGTTGGTGAGCAGCAGAGCTGGGATTCAAACCCAGGTCTTTCATATTCCATGCCAATCTCAGAACCTCTAGGCCAGAAGTTTTGTAAAATGTTTTCTGAACAGACCAGACAGTCACTCTTTTAGGATTTGTGAAGCAATCCCTCAGCCCACCACTGTGCCAGGAAAGCAGCTGTAGGCAATATCAAGCAAATGAACATGACTTTGTGTCAATAAAACTTTATTTAGAAAACAGGCAGAGGGCCAGCTTTGGTCCCAGGCCACCATTTGCCATAGTTACTTGGGCTGGGCTGTGAGGACCACTTTGGAGGAATTGTCATCACTGACGGTATCACCCAGAGGCACACATGCATGTGTGTGGTGGAGGAGGGCCCCAGAGTCCTCAGACTCCCCAGGGGCCTAGCTGGACCCTAACTCCCAGCCCTCTGCTGGGAGGCCTGGCTATAAACATGAGTTATTCCCCTCTCAGGGCTGAGACAGAGGGGGCATAAAAACCAGGACTGATGGAATCCTGGACATAAAACCCGGTAATTACTGGTACAACCCCAAATACTCCCTCCTCAGTCCTTCTGCAGCAGTGTCTCCTTGGCATTCAGTCCTGGCCGGTTGGGGGATGCGGGGTGGGGGGTGGGGGGCATGAATAACTCTCTGCTCAGGAGCCAAAAAGTGTGGTTTACTCAGACAGCCCAGCTTGGCCTCTGGCTCTCCTGGAGCCTGGACTCCATGAACAGTTCTTATATGAACTGAAAGCAATTCCCTCACAGGTCTGAGGCCTACCAGCGATAGACAGCCGCGCATGGACACTGACTCCCCGAGCTCAGAGCTCAGTTGCTTCTTCTCTTTGTCCACTAAGCCGCCACCCCTGCATCCCTCTCCAGCCACTCTCTCCTTCTGCCTCTTTATCTTTCCGTCCTTTTCTGAGGCACACTTTCCCACTCCCGAAGGCATGCTTTGAGTCTCTCCTCAAGTCTCCCCCGTTCCCTCTTCCTCCTGCCTCTCTCCCCTCCCCCCGCTGCTTTATCTCCCTCACCCAGGCAGACATAGCCAACCCACCCATGACCCATGGGGCACAGACAGACAGCTCCACCCCTCACCTCACAGACAGCCTCACCCCCACGGGACAGGCTGGCGTCCAGCTGGGACAATGCATTTCTGCCCAGAGAAAGTTGACAGCAAGGGGCCGGGTTGCCCCATCAGCGCCTGAACTCTTCTCAAGCCGCATTTACCCCAGGGGAGCAGAGGGGCTGAAGTAATGTCGCTGTGGTCCTCCTTGTCCCCAAAAGCGCCTGAGCTCCTGCAGAAGGAGCTCCCGTTACCAGTAGGAGTCTCCCACGTCTGAGGGTCAACTACAGCTCCACATTCAAAATGTACAGTCCCCACACGGACCTGAGGTAGCTATTGGTTTTACACCCATTTTACAGATGAGTAAATTGAGGCTTCAAATGTAAAGAATTTTTCCCTACAACCACAAAACCCAGTGTCTTTCCACACGCCAGGTCCAAATGGACAACAAAGGGTGTGTCTGGGAATCCTGGGTCCACAGGTTTGGCCTCACGTCATCTCTCAGCTTCCCCGAGGCACCTACAGAGACAGGGCTCAGTCACAGGAGCGAGAGGGGTTTCTAGGTTCTCTCCAACCCAAGGAGGACACCCAGGCTGGGGGCCTGGAGCCACCCCTGTTTCGGACCGCATTGGAAAGACTTCCCTGCAGGCCAAACCCATCTCAGGGGGCCTGGTACCAGCAGAAGGGACAAGTGCAGTTCGGGCCTGAGTCCCGGGCAGGCAGCCCTGCCCCCAAGCAGGAACTCAGAGCCCTGACACAGGCAGCTGCTGTCTCTGAGGTCCTGGTGCCTGGTGTTCAGCCAGGGGACCTGCGCAGAGGGCCCTTTCGTCAGTTCATTCCCCCGTGGGGTCAGGGGAGAACAAGGCCTTTCTACCCCTGTCTGGCACTGCCAGATGAGCCCCTCATCACCCACCATCACTCAGAGCAAACCAGGGGTGCAGGCAGGAGCAAGGAGCAGCTATGCCAGTGTGCAGAGGTGCAAACACCTGCCCCCCCAAGTTAGGTCACCCCCAGAGCACTGCTGGCCAGGGGTGTCCTCCAGGTGCCAGCTGGGACTCTACACACTCAGGGGTGCACTTCACACACACATATAATTACGCCCCGACCTGTTATCCTAGAGATAACATCTACGTTTATCCACCTAGTGCTGTGTATAGATGTGCGTATACACACACACGTGTGCATTTTATATATGTGTTACATGTAATTTTTTGAACGTGGCTGGGATCACACTTGTCTTGTTCTTTTTTCATGTGGCAGTCGATTGTGAGCACCGTGCATATCCAAACTGTTCTCCCGGGACAGAGTTTTTATTAATTGAACATGTTCCAACACGCCAGAGGGACATCAGTCATTCCGACACATTTCCATCAATACCCATTTATGCTGCTTCCTATTTTCTAATTTTTCCAATTTGTTTTTTTTTTTGGGGGGGTTATGAATGTATCTGTGGATTATGGAACTTGGAGGCGACTCAAAATGCAGGAGAGGAAAGTCACCTCCTTCTTCTCCAACTCCGTCTATGAAACAGACGCGGGTGAACTCCATGCCGTCGGCTGAGCGCTGTCCAGCTTGATGGATGAGCTTCCCCCGCCTCGTGAGGCTGATGTAGGGCAGCATCAGCAGGGACAATTCTCTCTTTTTTTAAGATTTATTTATTTGTGCATATAAGAGCTGGGGTGTAGGCCAGAGGTGGGGGTGGGGAGAGGATTCACCAGAGACAGGGTGGGGACCAGAACAGGTGGATTGACTGAAATACACTTCTGAGGGGAGCAGCGGGGAGACACACCTGCCGCGCCATGTGGGTAGCTCCCTGGCCAGAGATCGAACTCGTGCTGCAGAGGCTGCGGACAGCTTCACGGTGCTGTGCTTAACCCCTTGCGCCACCGGGGAGGCCCGGCAGGGACATTTCTAGTCAGGCCTATTTTCGAAGCTGTGTCATGCGTGTGTTACTGAGGTGATCTGTTTGGGGTTTTAGTGAACCCTGCCTTAGATGAAACAGGTGTTTTGCTGGCCTGGGCTGCGTCTGTGCCACCTGAGTGCCCACCACGATGGAAGAAGTGGAAACAGTGGTGGACGTGGGTTCCTTTTTCTTGAGGCTCACTCCATGCATCTGAGTTTGGGCTCCATGCATCTGAAGAAAATAAATCACCCAGCACCCCAAAGATGACCAGCCACTGTGATGTTTATGCCAGTGAATGTTGGGGACGCTGGTGCCCACTGACAGGAGGGGGTGCATCCTGGGGCATCTGTTCAAGGAATCCCGCGCAGTCTCAAGTTTGTGCCACCTCCTGAGGCAGAAGCATCCCCCCCCCATAGTGCAGGAGACAGCATCTTAGAAAACGGAAGATGTTGTGTGAGCGTGGGTCTGTGTGTGTCCCCAGGACTATTTAACTAAACAGCAACAGCTGCTCCCTGGATGGCGTGGGATTTGGGGTGATTTTCACTTTCTGGTTTATTTTTATTCTTTTCTGGTTTAGGCTTGTATAATTCTTTGGAAGGGACATTGATTACTTTGGGGGGAGCAGCAAAGTAAACCAAAAGCCATCTTGATATTGAAAGGAAGAAATGCATGGGAGAGGACATCCTGTGCCCCAGGAGTGCAGCCTGCCCAGTTCCTGCCCCCCCAACCCTGCCTGCCCCCACCCCCAGCATGGCTGCCTGGGCTTGTGTGTTGCAGACTCCGATAGCCAGTGCAGCCCCACGCGGCAGAGCCTCAGCCTGTCCGAGGGCGAGGAGCAGATGGATCGGCTGCAGCAGGTGGAGCTGGTCAGGACCACCCCCATGTCCCACTGGAAGGCCGGCACCGTCCAAGCCTGGCTAGAGGTGGTCATGGCCATGCCCATGTACGTGAAGGCCTGCGCGGAGAACGTGAAGAGTGGCAAGGTAGGAGCCCTCCAGGACCCCTGTGGAAATACCCTCTCCCCTCTGGGAGTTTTGCCCATGGCTGCCCCTCGCTGCCCCCGAGGTTAGGAGGAGATACCATGCAGGAGCCCGCTGACCTGGGTTCAGGCTCCAGAGTCCCCACTCGATCATGGTGCCTCCGCAGCAAGGTGCATAACCCTTCTGAATTCCAGTTTCCTCGTCCTTTCAACGGGACTACCTGGCTGAGGGGAGGCGGGCCTCCATGCGAGAGTTCCTGCAACAATGCAGGACCCCAGAGACCTCCCAAGTGCTGCCCTGACTTCATGGAAGATTGGTTGGGGGGAGGTAGAGAGCCAGCCCTGCCCGGCATACCCCAGGGCTCAGCACAGCCAACAGCAGGTCCCCAGCCTCCCTTCCAGGTGCTCAGCCTCCACCTTCTGGGCGCAGGTGCTGCTGAGTCTGAGCGACGAGGACCTGGAGCTGGGCCTGGGCGTGTGCAGCTCTCTGCACCGGCGCAAGCTGCGGCTGGCCATCGAGGACTACCGCGACGCAGAGGCGGGCCGGAGGTGAGCGGGCGCCCATCCGAGACCGCGGGCCCCACAGGTGGGGGAGCAGGCCTCAGAGGTGGGCCCGGTGAGCGGGATGATGAAAAGTGTCCAGGGCTCCTCTGGCCGCCAGGTAAACCCAGGTAGCTCTGGCCAGCTCTTCCCAAAGAGAGATGGAGCTGCAGGGAGCAAGAGCATTCCCCAGGTGCCCTACGATTCCCTCAATGTACCCGTCAGGAGGGCTTTAGGTAGCCCTAGAACGCCTCCACCTGGGGGGCCAGCGGCAATGAATCTGGGAATTATGCCAAAATGCCTGCCTCCTTGCTCGGGAACCCCCAGCTCTGACTGCTCCAGGGAGAGGAAAGACAGCAGGGGCAGGGGCAGGTAGGACTGGACAGGGAAGATGGAGGGGCACCCGGCTTACCCTAGCAACCGGGCAGGGGCCCGGCCAGGTGGAGGGCTGGCTTTTAGTTGCTCTGCGTACGCAGGGGGGGGGGGGAATGGCTTTTTACTCTCTTGAGTGCTCTTTCCTCTAACCCTGTGCGGAAACGTATTTATCATCCATCCAAATAAACAAATAAAAAAACAAAACACCTGGCACTTGGGAGCTACTTAATCTACCAGTTCAGCAGGGTGTCCTTTGGCAGGCACACCTGGAGCAGCCGAGGTCCCCCAGAGAGACTCTCTCCCCACCAACACCCAGCCTGGCCTGCTGGGCAGAACTTTGGGGGGGGGGTCCTTCATTCACCAAGCAGCCACAGGAAAAAGGGACAGCCCCCCACACACACACCAGCCCTGGGGGTTCAGAGGACGAGGAGGAAGGAGCACTGTGAAACTGTCGCTTTCTCTTGTGCATAATTATCTCCTTCACCGGTTTCCCCATCATTTTTTGTGCAGTTAATTAATCAAACCTGGTGGTGTGTGCTATTATTTGCAGAAGCAGCTTGGTGGATTAAAAAAAAAGGGGGTTGGGCAGGAAATCAGGCTGGCTTGCAAGCAGGGAGACCGAATCTCTGTGCATCCTGGAGAGGGCCTGGCCCAGGTGCCTGGGAGGCAGGACAGCAGGTGAGATGGGCCAGGGCCGCAGGCGGCAACGCCGAGTAGGAGGGGGCACCTGGTCAGCGATAAGGAGGCAGCGCTAGGTGGGGGCTGCAGGGCAGAGGAGTGGGTGAGGGGTGCACCCAATACAGGAACTGAGCATCCCCTCCTGAACCCTCCCCCCGAGGCTCTCACTATCCTCCCACCCCTCATCCCACACTGCTGTGTTCGTGAACAGGTGGGTCTGCCTGCTGCACCCCTCAAAAATGTGGAGGTCACTGTCCATGTTCCCCCAAAGCCTGGCTGATGCAGAGAACTGAAACTCTAGGGGGCCGGGAAAGGGATGGATTTAAATGAGCAGCCAGATGTGAAGGGATGTGATGACTGTGGTCAGCAGGGCCATCTCCAAGGATCTCAGGGCCGGCGTTAGACACCCGCAGGGGCTGGTTCCTGGAGCGAGCCGGGGCCTTTATTTGAGGGCTCCATTCCCTGGGGAAATCCGGCCTGTCTCTGACTCAGTTTCTCCACCTGTGAAGTAAAGAGGGTTACATAAGGACAGCGGTTGTTCACCTTTTGGGGGATCATGGCCCCTTGGAGAATCTACCCAAAACTTTGGACACTTTCCCCAGGAAAAAATATGTATGTTGCATTCTGGGACCCTCTGGCCACCCATGAAGTTCTTAGGGACCCATGGGCTCCAGGGTAAGCACCCCCGTGAGGTCGTCTTCAAGGACACGTACCGCGTGACCTTGGGCATGACCTTGCCCTCTCTCAGGCTGGTTCCCCTAAACTCTAAAGCAGCCACAGCAGAGCCCAGCAGCCCTGCAGCCATCACCAGTCACTCTGTGGACAAAGCTTCACCAGCCCCACCTCAGCAGGACCAAGTTCTTGGGACAGGCCCAAAGTCACCCCAGGCTCCAACCCATTCCAAAGTCTTCCAACCATCTCAGGTCGCCTTTGTGTTTAAAAACAGAGACAGCGATGAGGCCCCTGCTACTATGATTTCTAGGACCCCCGGGTGAGCCTTCTCTCATCCCTTTGGTCCTCAAAGCTCCAGAAAAGCATGGTTCTCCCCACTTTACAGATGAGGAAACTGAGGCACAGTAGTGCAAGATCGGGGGGCCGAGGGTGATGGAGTCAGAAGGGCATCATTTTCTTGTTAAAGAATAATCCAGCCGGTGGCTTAATTCTGTGCCCAAACCCCAATGTCAGGGTCGATATGGCCTCGGTGCGCGGAGGGGCAGTGTCAAATTTTAGAAAACATCTGAATTTCCCTTCGTCATGGTGCTTTACTCAAGCAGGATGCTTATAACAGAGAGTCGCCAGGAGGGGGCGCCCTGGGACCAGAGGATGGGGGCCCAGCAGGAGCACTGCCCACTGGCCTGCAGATGGGCTTGGCTGGTTATAAATGGGCCTCTCTCAAGTGGGTTCTGCGAGCTGTGCCCTCCACCCACCCCTGCACCCCACCTCATGTGGCTTCATGGCTTTGCTCCAGGCCAGAGTGGAGGGGGTACCTGCCCAGTAGCGACAGCCTGGGCCCAGGGGCCTCGGATGCAGAGGCCCTGAGCTGGCGCTGTGGCCCAGGAGAGAGCACAGAGGCAGGGTAGCATCTCCCTGGAGCAGCAGGGTGGAACCAACCCTGGGGGACTTCACAGGGGTCTGCTGGGGGCTTCGTCGTCCCGGAAGGGAGCTTGTGCTGGCTTGGAAGGTCCCAGTTAGGAGGTCCGTCCCGGCAGCCTCCTGGTGGACTCAAAGCCACAGTTCTTACCCCAGGCTTCTCCTTCTCCCAGGCATTCGATTCTGGAACAAAAGTTGCTGAGCCTTAGCTCTGAGCTGACGCGGGCCCTGGGCCTCTAGGTAACCACATCTGCTCCCACCCTCTGGAGCTGCAGGCCCAGTGGGCAGCTGGCCAGATGTGCAGCCCCAGCCCAGCGCAGCGAGGCCGAAGGCTTCGGCTGTGGGTGTTAAGCAGAAGGGGGTGGGTGAGGAACAGGCCTGGAGACAAGGAGGCCTGGGGTCCTGGTCAGCGGTGGGGTAGGAGCAGGGAAGGCAGCCGGGATCACCCCCATCCCCCAGTCCTTGCGGTGGGGCTGGGGTGTAAGTCAGCCCAGAGCACGCAGGCCCTGAGCCCAGACCAGCGGAGCCTCGGGCTGCCCGGGTGGTCAGCGCCGGGAAGGGAACCTGGGAACAGAGAGCGCGCGGGACGCCATGTTAGGCAGGAAAGTGAGCAAGTTGGGAGAGTGCAGCCCTGGATGTGGGGGCGGGAGGAGGAGGGACCCACGCCAGGGGCAAAGGAACTCAGAGCTTCCTGGATGCCCCCCACCACGTCCCGCACCCCCATACCCCCATCCCCCCCTGGGCCAAGCAAGGACGTCCATGACTTCTCTCCTGCAAAAGGAACCACCAGAGAGTTTTCTTGTTTTGTGTGTTGAAAGTTACGCCCTCCTTTTCATGCGCTGAGCGCCCCCACGCCAGGTTCATCAGCTCTAAGTCTTTATTCTTTACTGCTGCTCTAGGGGTTACAACAGACACACTTAGCTTCTAAGAAGGTCACACGACTTCACCCAGGGTGCCCAGGCCTGTTCTCCTGCCTCCCTGCTCCTGTTGGCAGGCGGGAGACTCTCCATGCTACAGGCTCCGTGAAACATAAGTAAATCGTTTTCTTTCAACTGTTGCCCAGACCTTTTAAGGAGATTCACAAACGAGAGCAACATTTGCTTAGATAGTGGCCACTTCCAGGCATCGTTATTCTTTAAGAAAAAAATTGTGTGTGTGTCATAAAATACACATAACATAAAATGTAATGGTCACGCGCCTCTTAACCATTTTTCAGTGCACGATTTAGTGGTATTAAATATGTTGACATGGCTATGCACGCATCACCACCCTCGTCCCTGGAACTCTAAATCTTGTAAAATGAACACTCTGTACCCATCAAACAATAGCCCTACTCTTACCTCTTCCCAGCCCCTGGCAAACACCATTCTATTTTCTGTCTCTATGATTTTTACGACTCTCAGCTAAGTGGAATCATGTGGTATTTGTCTTTTTGTGCCTGACTTATTTCACTTCACATGAAGTCCTCAAGACTCCCCCATGCTGGGGCCCATGACAGGATTCCCCTCCTTTTTTCAGACTGAGTAATATTCCATTGTTCGACTAGACCACATTTCATCGATTCTTCTGTCCTTGGAACACTTGGATTGCTCCCGGGTTTTAGCTTTTGTGCATCGAACTGCTGTAAACATGGTTTATATCAAAATATCTCACCAAGGTCCTGGTGAGTATATACCCAGAAGTGGAACTGCTGGAGCACATGATAATTATATTTTTAGTTTTTGAGGGTCCACCATACGGTCTCCCACAGTGGCTATGCCATTTTACATTCCCACCAACGGGCACCAGAGTTCCAATTGCTCCACATCCTCACCGGCACTGGTTGTTTCTGTTTTATTGGGTTTTTTCCCCTTTTCTCCAGCAGCCAACCCGATCAGTGTGAGCTGGTACCTCCCTGTAGTTTGGGTTCGTGTTTCCCTGGCAACAGTGATGCTGAGCATCTTCTCATGCACTTACTGGCAGTTCCTACATCTTCTCTGGAGAAATGTCTATTCAGTCCTTTGCCCATTTCTGGATGTTGGACTTCCTGTTGGAATTTTAGCTGTTTTCATCTTTACGCTTCAGTATAACCCAAAATCCCATGTTATTATTTTCTCTCCCTTTAAGGAAATTTTCTTTCACATTCTTGTAGTCATTCCTCTGATGATGAAATCTCTCCATGTTTCTTGTTAAAACATCTTTATTTCCTCTCTCATTATTTTTTTTAAGATTTTTAAGAGCTGTTTTAATTTCGTTACCAACTGGTTGAATTCTTTTCCCCGTCCAACACCCAGATCGGCCCAGGAAAGATACTTGAACGAGACTGGGGCACTGGAGGGTTTATTCCTTGGCTGGGAGTAGAGAAAAAATGCTCGAAAGATCTCCCAGAACTGGGGAGAGGCAGAGACTTCTACCAGAAAAACAAAAGGGGAAGTGACTCAAGATTCCACATCAGCAAGATTTTAGAGAAATAGACGGGAGGGTCCTGGGACGGCACTCGAGCCCCCTCTTCTTCCCAGCGAGGTCCTGCGGGATCCGCCCTGGTGCTGGCGGGCGTGCGTCTCATGGCGGCTCAAGCCTTGTCTTACACCGACGCCTGGTCTCCCATGCTTTCGTCTCCAAATAGATCAACGAGGACAGCGAGAGGCTGAGGGACTATGGTGGCCAAGCCCACCGACAGTTTCCCAGCAAAATTTTGAAAGTGCAGGATTTCCTAGGTGCCCCCTGTCCCCCACGGCCACAGGAGCCCCCTTATCAATGTCCCCAGCAGAAGGAACCTTTGTTCCAGCGAGGAAGCCACACGGACACGCCACAGGCGCAAAGTAAATGGTTCATATTGGGTCCCTCCCGCTGTTGTGCTTTCTGTGGGTTTGGACGGATGTAGAGTCACTTACATGCTGCATCAGGCTGGACAGTCTCACTGCCTGTGAACCCTTGAGCTCCATTCACTCAGCCCTCCTGAACCCCAGCCCCCAGCAGCCTGTACCCCTAGCCCCCAGCAGCCTATACCTCCAGCCCACAGCAGCCTGCAACTCCAGCCCCCCAGCAGCCTACACCCCCAGCAGCCTGCACCCCAGCCTCCCAGCAGCCTATACCCCCAGTAGCCTATACCCCCAGCAGCCTGCACCCCCAGTAGCCTGCACCCCCAGCAGCCTGTACCACCAGCACCCCAGCAGCCTACACGCCCAGCCCCCAGCAGCCTACTCCCCCAGCCCCTGGCAACCTGCACCCCCAGCCCTCAGCAGCCTGCTCCCCCAGCCCCTGGCAGCCTGCACCCGCAGCCCCTGGCAGCTGACTGCATCACTGTCTCTGTAGTGTTTTCCAGAATTCCATAGAGTAGGAACCACACGGCACGTAGCCTTTTCAGATTGGTTTCTCTCACTTAGTAAATGCACTGAAGGTTCCTCCACTGGGAGGTGTTAGCAGAGGGGTGACGTGACCTGATGGGTGTTTTTAAAAGGCCACCGGGAAGCCCTGGGGACCGTGGGTTAGAAGGGCAGGGAAAAGGCCAGAGGCAGAAACCCGCCGCAGAGATGGCTGTACCCTGAACCCCGAAGCGGAGAGAAGGGACAGACACACCAGTGGAAAGACGGGGAGAAACCATGCCCTAGGCAGCTGGCAGGGCCCCTGGCAACACAGGCCCCGCATCCTCACTGTTAGTGACCAGCATTGCCCGGGGCAGCGCCTGCCGCAGCCTCCCCTCCTCCACGGGAGTCACCTGGAATGTGTGCCCACATCCTGACTCTGGCAGAGTGAATGGCAGCTGGACAGGGCAGGGAGGGGAGGGCTGATCCAGGGGTGGCAGGGGTGGGGACCAGCTGGGAGAGGGGATACCTTAGATGCCCTTGAGCGCGGGCACACTTTGGCAGGAGTTACCTTCACCAGGGCAGTTAGCCAGAGGCTGGAGCTCGGAAGAGAGGGCAGGGAGATGCCAATTTGAGAGCCCTCTTCAGCAGACAACGTGGGAGCCAGGAAGAGGGTGTCCCCCAGAGGTGGGAGGGGGTGGGGCCTGAGTCAGGAGGGTGGTTGCCCGTTCATGCCATGGTGCCAGAGGGCGCGGGGGCCTGTGGCCCAGTGAGAGGGGTGAGGGCAGGAGGAGGCCGCCGGGGCCACCAGTGTTGGGCAGCGTGGTCAGCTCTGGTTGTGCTGGGATAAGGACAGCAGGATCCAGAGGCATGGAGTCCTGGGAGGCGGGAAGTCCAGGGGGCCGGGAGGGAGCAGTGGAGAGTAGAAAGGAGGAAGCTGAGCCAGGTGAGTGTCCAGCTATGGTGGACGAGAGGGGCGCTCCAATAGAGAGGTGCTCAGGGAGGAAGCCGCCACCACGCCCCAGCTGAGTCGTTCCCTTTGTCTGGGAAGAAAGGATCCCAGGGCAGGGAGAGGAGCGGCATCGCTGGGTAAGCCCCTCATTTCCCTTACACATCCCGACCCCTTCTCGTCCCGGGCGGCTCCACTCAGACAACCCCGCTCTCTGCCCCCTGCCCGCACCACCTCTGCTCTCTGCCGGCACCACCTCTCCTGGTTTCTGCACGCCCTGGCAGGTGGGGAGCGCCGTCTGCGTTCCTTGTGCGAGGCCGCCCCCGTGTGGTGAGCAGGGGAATGATGGCCGAAGGGCCTCCCTCCCTCGCCAGAAACGTATTCTTTGTGTACCTACTATGTGCGTGGCTCTGGGGTAAGCTCTGTGCGGGAGGCAGAGAAACTGGCGGTGAGGGGAGGGGACTTGGAGTAGCAAAGTCCAAGATGGGGAACTGATTCCAAGGTGTGCCAGCCTGGGGCTCTGGGCAACCTGAGCTCCCCAGTTTATGGAGGAAGAGAGACAGCCGGGCCAAGGCTTCCTGGGCCTCAGGGTCTCTGTTGAGCCCCTCTGTCGAGCGTGGGGGTGCCGGGCTCCCCAACAGTGCCATCTCTCCCGCACCTCCTCTTCTCTCCCCGTCTCTGCTCTTTGCCTCTTTCTTCCCGGTTCACCCCTGCTCCTGTCTATCTCCGGGCTTCCCTCCCTAGCCCACCTTTGTATTTTGTTTTTTTTTTTTTAAGATTTATTTATTTATGCATACAAAAGCTGGGGTACAGGCCAGAGATGCAGGGGGTGAGAGGATCCACCAGAGACAGAGTGGGGAGCAGAACAGGTGCATCTACTGAAATATCCCACTGAGGGGAGCAGCGGGCGAGACAGGAGAGGTCTGCTGCGCCATGTGGGTATCTCCCTGGCGGGCTGGGGATGGAACTCGTGCTGCAGAGGCTGTGGAGTGCTTCCTAGTGCTTAACCCCTTGCGCCGCCAGGGAGGCCCTCCCGCCTTTGCTTTCCCCTTCTCTTCATCTCTGCCTCCGTCTCTGCCTGTTGTTCGGCTCCTACCACCCCTCCCACTCACCCTCTCCGGCCGTGTCTCCCACCAGCCTGTCCAGAGCCGCCGACCTGGACCATCACTGGGTGGCCAAGGCCTGGCTGAACGACATCGGCCTGTCCCAGTACTCCCAGGCCTTTCAGAACCACCTGGTGGACGGGCGGATGCTGAACTCCCTGATGAAGCGGGACCTGGAGAAGCACCTGAATGTGTCCAAGAAGTTCCACCAGGTCAGCATCCTGCTGGGGATCGAGCTGCTGTACCAAGTGAACTTCAGCAGGGAGGTGAGCACCAGGGTGCAGGAGTGAGGGGCACCTTCCCTGCCCTCCTTTACCCTGTGGCATTCACAGTCTGCCCTTCCACCCCACCCCACCGCCCACGCCACCATCGGCAGGCGCGCAGCTGCGATCCGTCCAAGCAGGAACCGTGCATCCATCAGTTCCTCCACCCCGACCCCAACAACTGCATGTTGAGCATGGTCTGGGGGAAACGGTGAACCCTACCCCCCAAAACTTCCGGCTTATCTGGAAGAAACACAAAGGAACCTGGTGGCCATGGAAAATTGTTCCGATAAGAGAAACCCGGGATTTTATGAAAATCCATAGGAGGAGTTTCCACAGAGATCGGGGGGTGGGGGTGGGGTTTCCCAGGGATAGGGACAGTGAGCTGAGTCCTGACTGAGCCCTTCGGCATCTAACCAGTAGAAGGCAGGAGGGGGAGCGGCCCAGCGGAGAGAACGGCGTGGGCACAGGCCCAGAGACAGACCTGTGGCTGCAGAGGGGCCTGGCGTTGGGTGTGTGACCCAGTGCCAGGAACACAGCAGGCAGCTGTGGGGTGTGTTAGGCCCACACCCCCTTGAATCTGAGCCCTGCCGAGCTGAGAGTGCAGAGCCTCTGTCTCTCCCCAGTGCTCCCCTGTGGGCGGGGCCCCGTGGGGTGACGTTGGGGCACGAGCAATCCAGGGGCAGGAAAGGGGGCTCCCTGGCCTCTCAAACAGCCACTGCAGGGCCCTGGGCCCAGGAATTGACAGGAGCCCTGGCCCCTGGGGTCCCCCACCTGGTGAAGGAGGCAAATGTGGCAGGTGTAAAAAATGGGCCTGGAGGCTTCGGGTTGTGGAGGCCATGGGAATCCCTGGTGTAGGGTCTGTCTGTCCACCACAGGCCAGGACCACTCTGTCTGGGACCAGCCCCCTGAGGGAGGCTTGTGAAAGGTGCCAGCTGACCCCTGCAGGGCTTTGTTGTGGGGGGGTTGTACCCGGATGATGCTCACTACCTCAAGGCTGGATGGACCCAGGAGACTTGGCATCCAAGTCTCGTCCACTCATCGTCGGGTGTCTCTCAACAAAAATGCTTGGGCATATGCTAGGCAGCTTCCCTCCAGCCCCACACCCCCAGACACAGGCCTCTCTGCCCCCAGGCTCTCCCCACCCCACCCCAGGAAGGCGGCTCTTCCTTGAAGGAAAGGCCGAGGCACGGATGGCCCTGGAGCAGCCTTGGCTGACCCCCAAACTCTCCCACAGGCCTTGTCTGAGCCATGGAGCCTTCTTGCTTCCTATGGCAGAGGACGGGGTCTCGCATGCGGCCCTCACCCCAGCTGACCCCTATCTCCCTCCCCGCAGGCCCTTCAGGAGCGCCGGGCCCGTTGCGAGACACAGAACATAGACCCGGTGGTCTGGACCAATCAGCGGGTGCTCAAGTGGGTGCGGGATATTGACCTGAAGGTGAGTGATGTCTCGTGGCGACGTGTGGCGGCGGGATGAACATGGGTTCCTCGGAGTCCACGTCCAGAATAAGGAGAAGCCTAGAAGGAGGGCACCAAGAAAGTGCAGCCCAGCTCCAAGGGCAGTCTCGTTTTTATTTAGAATCAGAAAATGAGAAGATCAAAGAAGCAAGCAGGCAAATGGGGGACGCACAGGCGTATGGGGGACGCGTAACCAGCGGCGCCAGCCAAGGTGGAGAGGTCGGGAGGAAGCCAAGGAAAGTCTCAGTGTCTGTGCTACTCTCGCCATGACACCTATTGCTGTTTCTGCACATGCTGTTTTCAGCATGTGGGGGTCCTCATACCAGGGCTCTTGGCCTGAGTGGTTCCCTGTCAACTTCCCCTGTTTCTGCACCCTGAGAGGCACAGAACAGTCGAAGCAAAGGATAACCAAGGCAAAGACACACAATAGTTGTGGCACATAGTAGTACAAGCTCCCACAGAGGGTGATGGTACGTCGGGTGGGGGTGGAGGTTGGTACATGCAAATCCACGCTCGAGTGCATGAGGCATCCCTGCCCAGGCTGCCAGAGTGACAGAGGCTGTCACCCCCCCATGGTCTGACCCTCATTCAGGTCCCAGCAAATGACATGCTTCTCCTTTGGGGAGTGAGGTGCTGAGCCGTGCTGAGCATGTGTGAGGTAGAATCCAGGTTCATCTTCTCATTCAACAAGTATTTATGGGTTCCCTGCCAAGGTCTGGGGGTATCTCAGTGACAAAACAGCCTCAGTTGCTGCCCTTGTGGCCCTAAGAGTGAGGTGAAGCCCCCTCACTATTAAACTAAATGGTCCCAGTAAAAAAAATTTTAAAGAAATAAAAATTAGGGCCTCCCTGGTGGCACAAGGAGTTAAGCACCACTCTGTGAAGCTGTCCACACCCTCTGCAGCATGAGTTCCATCCCAGCCAGCCAGGGAGATACCCACATGGCAATACCTCTCCTGTCTCGCCCGCTGCTCCCCTCAGCAGTGTATTTCGTCAGTCTGCCTGTTCTGTTCCCCACTCTGTCTCTGGTGGATACTCTCACCCCCCGCATCTCTGGCCTGTACCCCAGCTCTTACATGCATAAATAAATAAATGTTTTAAAAAAATTTTAAAAAGATGGCGCGCAGACATCTGCTGCGCCCGCTGATCCCCTCAGCAGTGTATTTTGTCAGTCTGCCTGTTCTGTTCCCCTCTCTGACTCTGGTGAATCCTCTCACCCACCCACAAGTCTTTCTGTACCCAGTGCTTGTATAAATAAATAAATAAATCTTTTTTAAAAAATTTTTAAAAAGAAATAAAAATTAAAAAATAAATTAAATGGTCCCAGAAGACCAAGGTCTTGCTGTTGGGGGCACATCCCCACTAGGAACTGACCCCTCAGGTCAGTAGGGAGATGCCCTTGGACTAACCTCATGCCTTTGTGCTCAGGAGTATGCGGACAACCTCACCAATAGCGGGGTCCATGGTGCGGTGCTCGTGCTGGAGCCCACATTCAATGCCGAGGCCATGGCCACCGCCCTGGGCATCCCCAGCGGGAAGCACATCCTCCGGAGACACCTGGCAGAGGAGATGAGCGCCATCTTCCATCCAGCCAAGTGAGTGTCCAAGCCATGGGTAGGACCATGTCCTTGGGCCCCTTGGCGGATCATCAAGCTTCTCTGAGGTAGCTTAAAAGATGTTAGAAGATCCATTTCTCTGAAAGGCCACTTCCAGGATGACCCAGCTGAGGCTCACAGCTCCCTCCTGGCTGCCTCCTGTCTGCCCATGGGCCAGAGCCTACTGCCCTGTGTCAGGTTTCCAGGGAGCTTATGGGTCATTGCCATAGTCATTTACGGGACGCCAGGTCAGCTCCAAAGCAAAATCTTCACCACGTGGACTTTATTGGGGTCCCACTTTGCAGATCTAGAAAGGAGGTTTTAGAGACCTGAAGTGTCCTTTTCAAGGTCATGCAGCCAGTGAACAGGAGAGCCAGGTTTTTGACCACCTGCCTGGCTAAAACTGCTGCAGCAATTCTGGACATAACTCACATGGATTTGGGGAGTCTGATGGGGCCCCAACTGGGTCCCAAGAAAGACTGGAGCCCCCCAGAGACAGCAGTTTGCCCCAGATCCAAGCCAGAAAGCGGGCAGGTGGGAGGACTAAGTTCAGGCTTCTTGCCCCAGCTCACCCTCCATGGCATCTGTGTTCTGACACAGGGCCTGGCAATCTTCTCTATAAAAGGCCAACTAAATAGTGCTTAGGAAACTTATGGTCTGTGTCACAAGTTTACAGCTCTATCATTACAGCTAGAAAGCAGCCAGAGAGGCCACAAACAAAGTGGCATGGCCAGGCTCCAGGCAAACTCGATGCAGACCAGGCAGCTGCCTGTTCAGCCCCAGGCTGCAGTTTGCCAAATCCTGTCCCAACAGAACTCTCGTGGGGGGCATAATGGGGTAACTTCAGGAGATGGGGGGCGGTGCTTAGGGGGATGCAGATGTCATATGCCAAATGGGTTTTTTTTCTGATGTTCTCAAGTCACACCCACTTAGCTAAAATTGGGGGTCTCCCCTCAAGTCTTCCTTCCCCTGATAAAACTTGCAGGATCCTGGAGGGCTCAGAGCCAGGCTTTGGCCTTGAGGACAGGTCAGATCTTGGCTTTGTCACTGTCCACTGTGTGATCTGGCAAATCGCTTCATCTCGCTGCCTGTTTTCCTCACCCGCTAGCAGCCCATCCCCCAGGCAGCTGGGAGGGCTCCAAGTGTAAGGTGCTTAGCACAGGGCGGCATGTGGGGGTCCTCTGTCCCCCAGCTGCCGTGGTCACTGTCACCAGTACAAGTGTGTGCCTGCCTCTGGAGGGCAGTAGCTGACTGGGCCTCTCTGACCCCTCCAATGTGTCTCTCCCCAGCTCCGCTGGCATCCGAGAGGCTGAGCGTTTCGGGACGCCCCCAGGAAGGGCCTCCAGCATCACCCGGGCGGGGAAAGAGGAGAACAGCAGCAGCATCAAGTACAAGGCTGGCCGGGTAAGTCACGCCCACATTCTCTTTGGGACCTGCCCCTTGTAAGGGCGACTAGTCCCCTGTGCCCATGTTTGTGGCCAGTGGAGGAGCCCGTGGGCTGGCTCTCAGATGCAGCTGGAGAAGGGCCCCGGAAGCCAGCTCCAAGGCACCTGCCAGGTGCTCCAGGCACAAGGCGAGGCTCAGGGCAGTGCATCTCACCTGCCTGCCTCAGAATCACCTGGGCTATTGCTTGAAGGGCAGATTCTGGGATCTACCTGAGCCTCCCGATGCAAAGGGCCTCTTGGGTAAGCTGGAACCCAGCCTTCAGCCAAGTTGCCCAGAAGGTGCCAGAGCACCCCAAACTCCAACAACCACTGACTTAGCTCTTGGACTCTAGGGACCTCCCAGCAGTGGCAGCTGTGCCCAAATGCCTGATCTCCTGGACCCCAGCCCCAACCCCCCCACTCCCTGCGCACGACCCTAAGTGCGTGGGCACAGTGGGCAGCACTGGCTAATCCAACAGGCCCCCCCTTCATTCAGCAAACATGTTGGGGGGATTGACTGTGTTCTAGGTACATCCTAAGCATGGGCATGCCAACATGAATGCGGGCCACTTCCCTGACCTTTAAATGCTCTCAGCCCAGAAGGTTCCTTCTCACTGGGGTGATATCACCTCCAAACGAGTGAGACTAGCTGTGGAGGGAGGGGGCCCCCAAAAGCCTTCCTGGTTTGTGTATAAAGAGCAGACCCCAGAGCAGATGCACGGTGTGTCTGGGTGTGAGCGTTCTGCGGGGGGAGCGTGATCCAGGGGGAGAGGGCTGAGGGGGCAACAGCGAAGACAAGGCTGAGGAACATGGGGCTGGAAGGAAAGCCCAGCCAGGAAGTGGCTGATGAGAACCGCGCCGGGCGGGCATCGCAGAGGTCAGTTCACGGGAGACGGACATTCCTGAGAGCCTGCGGGATGACGGGAGCGCTGCCTCGGCCAGCAGCTGGCTGTGTCTTTGCAGAGGGGATTTTGACTCTTCAACACCCCCAGGGGCCAGGAACCACTCTCCCCCCTTCACAGCCAGGAAAACGGGCTGATCCAAGGTCACGCCACTGAGAAGTGGCAAAGCAGGCCTCTGAACCCCAGTTTGTGAGTCTCTAAAACCCACACTCTTGGCCCCCACCAGGAGATGCTAGAATATTCCTTTCTGACTGGGGAGTGCAGTCAGATCTCACCCCTATGCTGGAACGTTCTCAGCTGTCCTCCCGCCGGAGAGAAGGGGTGGGCGGCGCTGGTGGGTCGTCGGATGGTCCGTCCTCGCCCTTGGTAGCCAAGAGGCTCCTTCCAGCTGGGGACATCATGGTTTGTCCTTCATGTCCCCCCACAAGGCCCCCTCTGTTCCCTGAGCAGGGGGTATCGCGAGCGTGCGGGAGCGCAGAGAGGTTAGACGGTCGCTCGAGGTCACACGGGAGTCAGACTTGGGGGCTCCGGGTTTCCCAGACCTGAGAACATTCAATTGTTTCCCTCCCTCTTCCTCTCGTGCCCCCCTCTTCAGCTGCCCCTGGGGAAGATAGGCAGGGGCTTCAGCAGCAAAGACCCCGACTTCCACGACGACTACGGCTCTCTTCAAAACGAAGACTGCGGCGACGACGACCTCCAGGGCAGGCCGGAGCGGTGCCGGCTGGACGGCTACAACGGCCTGGAGGTCACCAACGTGTGAGGAGCCCTCGCCCCGCCGGACCCGCTCAGAGAGACCCAGGGAGGGGGGCAGGCGATCGCCCCACTGTACATAGTGACCTGAGGCGGGGCGCCTCTGCTTCCCGGCAGGCCCCTCAGACCGCGGCCGGCCAGACGGGAGCGCCAGGTCTGCCTGCGCTGGCAAGGGTCCGTCGCAGCGGCCACCCCTCCAGAGCCCAGGCCCCACCTCAGTGACTGTCAGCGTCGAGGATCCCAGGTGGTCCCCGAAGCCTTGAACTGAGCAGCCAAGGGGAAAGAGGCCCCGAGTGCCCCTAAACACCCTCCCGGTCAGAGCAGGGGGGTCTCCAATCAGACGAGCCGGGGCTGGGGAGGGACCGTGCAGAGCGAGCAAAGCCTGGGCCGCCCGTCGACGCGTGGCTCCTCCCGGCAGCCGGCTGGGGTCTGGGTCCCGCGCCCACGCCCCCCACCCCGTGACGGGGAACTTGGGTTCTGACGAGGGTCATTGAGTCTCTCTTGAGAGAATGCAAAATGGGGAGGTCATTTCCTTCCCCCCAATAGCGTGGGCCCCAAGAGAGTGCACATGTTGAGGAGCTGTTTGACCCTCCTCCTGGGAGCTGCTGCCCTGGGTAGGGGGCGGTGGGTGGTTCCTGCCGGGGTGAGGCGCCACTTCCCAGGAAATGCAGGAAGCAGGATGTTGTGACGAGCATGTCAGGGGGGGACTGAGCTGGGGCCAGGACAGCCCTACCAGGTGTGGCAGTCGGTCTGGGATGGGGTGATGGAGACACTTCGCTGTGATGTCTCAGCACACCGAAACCTAGGTGTGCTCCTCACGGCCTGGTCAAGATCGATGGCCCAGATCAGTCTCTGAGGTGGCAGAGGGACCTTCCAGCCCTTTTCTTGACTCTGCGCTGTTTTGCTGTGTGACCTTTTCCCAGTGGCCTCACCTTTCTGTGCCTCAACATCTTCCTCTGTAATACTTGTGGTTCCCCCCCTCCCAGGACCTTGTGAGGATTAACACTTGCTAATGTCTGTAACACTTTGTAACCTCTCAGGAGACAGGTGGGAAGTTAGGGATGGGAAGGGGGCATCTAATTTCCCTCTCACCACACAGAAATGACATTGCCCTGGTTTTCCAGCTTGGTTTTGGTCGGAGCAGTGTGCAAAAGGAGAACAAGAAAGGTTTACTATTCCAACTCTCGAGAGCCCCCAAGGGTTTGACCAAGAGGAGAGAGAAATCCCACATGCACACCTTGAGGACCAGCTTTGACTTGGGTGTTCAGACTCAAGTTAACTGACCTGGAGGGATGATTGGGGCAGGACACAGTAGTCCTGCATGCTCCTTACACCTCAGGCCTCGAAGCACATCAGGTGTTGGGGTCACAATGCTTATTTCCATTGAAGCCACTTGCATGAAAGGTTTGACGGCATGTGTCCGCCTCCGAGAACTGTCCAAGCCCATGTTCTTCATCCGACACACTGTCTCGCCTCCTGGGAAAAGCTTCAATCCAGCACCATGCACTTGAGGATCTCTGCTCCCTGTGCAGGAGACCGTGAGCTGCTCTCGACCGTAGGGGCACAGCCTTCCTTGCCATCGGAAGCCATGTGTTCACACGTGGACACTGAATGCCTGGCCGCCTGGAGACACAGTCCTGAGGTGCTGAGGGAGGAAGTCCGGTGCCGGATTTGGCTTTGCAGGAGGCTCTGAGCCCGCCTCTGTGATTGAGTCAGCCCCACACAGGGCCTGACACTACAGAACCCACAGCCCAAGGGGAGAGTAACCCCCTGCAATTGGCTGCTGCTGGGCCTGCTCTCAGGCTGGGTGACCGGGACCCCAGGACCTGCCTCTTGGGAGGTGGTGCCCACGGGTGAGGAAGATGGCAGGAGGGTGCCTGGAAGCGGGTCTGTTATTTGAACCAACGGCCACCTGAGTTGTCAGTCATGAAGCTCACGTCTCCTGGCCCCGTCCCACTGGGGACAAGCTGGGCGAGTGGACAGTGGGGAGAGGGCACTGGCAGTGACGGCATGGCCCGAAACATTGGCAGCATTTGGTTGGCAGGTCTGGGACAGCCTGGAATGTTCCTTCTGGTGCTCCCTCTGCTGGCAGTTTGGCCAACTTTGACGCTGGCTTTTCAACACGAGGACTAGTGGCTAATAAGAGAACATCCTTCACGCCCAGTCACATGAGGTGAGCTTTGTCTGCTTCCAGGGGGGCAAAGCAGGGGTGGGGTGCAGAGAGACTTGGCAGAGATCGGCAGAGGCTGGCAGAGCAGGAACCATCTGGGTCGTGTCTTGTCCTGGTCCCGCGGGTGACACACATCTGGCTGTGGGACACCCCGATGTGCTTCTCTGGATGGTGGTATCGCCTGTGTCTACAAGGCCTTGGGAAGGGGTGGAAAGGTAGGGACAGGACAGGTATAGAAGCTGGGGAGCATCAGTGGGGACCTGCCCAGCGGACCCTCAGCTTTCTGGGCCCAGAGCTGCTGAAAGGCCCCTTTGTCCCTGGCTGAGCAGAGTCTTTCCCCCAGATCTGTGCTGTTAGCATCGCAGTTAGCGCCCCGGCCTGCAGGAGGCAGGAGACACCACATGAGAACCTGGGCTGGAGAGAGGGTGGAGAGGAGCAGGGGATCTGCACCACCCAGCCGGCAGTGGAAGACCCCAAATGTTGAGGTCACCCAACAGGGCTGGGTCCAGCAGAGGGGGATGGTATGACCAGATGTGGCTGCAGGGCCCACATAACCCTATTTCTCCAAGCCCAGGGCTCCCACCCAAACCCCATGTTCTGGCCACCATCACATCCACTCCGCTCTTTGAGGCCCCGGCAGGCTCCTGGCAGGTGAGTGGCGGGAGCAAGGATCTGACTGGAAGAGCGCCTTTGATGTGATCTTCTAGAATTTCCTGAGCCCAAACACAAAGGCAGTTGGCTGCACAGGAAACCAGTTGGGCAGGAGCAAAGATGGTGTCCCTGGCCTTTAGTAGCTGGTCGAGTCTGGAATGTCTCCCCCAACGTGATTTTAACACTGTAACACAAATAATAAACACTACTGCACAGTGGCCTCTTTCTGTGCGTGTTCTTATTGCGTTTCCCCAGCAGCCGCTCTGAGAATGGAGATTGTAAACCCATTTCACAGATGGAGAAACTGAGGTTTAGACAGGCTAAGGGGCTTGCCCAGCCCCATAAAGCTAAGAAGTCATGGGAGAGGAATTCAAAACCCAGTCATGTGTCTCCAAACCCCAGGCTTGTCCCCACCCCGCCCCCACTGTACACTCCCTGCGGCCCCTCCACCCACCTTCTAAGAGCACAGGGCTCGCCTGCCCAGGTGGCATCACCCACAGTGGTGCTCTGTCCTGGTGGAAAAGCCTGGGTCTGCTCTCCCCTTGCGGGGCGCTGCCTTCTCTCTGAGACCCCACTGGCACCTGACAGGTCACCCTCCCTTAGGGTCATTTTTTCACCATGTCACACCCCGCCCTGCCCCCCACCCTGGGAATTTATATTTTCCAGTTGCTGGGAGAGATCTTGGGTGTTGTCTGAGTTGGCTCAGGCTGCCATAACAAAATGCTGAAGGTGTCTATTTTAAGCCTTGCTGGTTGCAGTAGGTACTGCTGGCTTCCGAGGGCCCAGAGCAACCTCAGAGGAAACACCCATGTGAATGCAGGAATCCACTCGATGCACACGTACCTGGCAGAGCGGCTTCCTGGGCTGATTTCCCACCTCCCGGGCCCCCTGGCATTTAGGGACGGAGCAAAGGGAAGATCCCCGCCGATGGAGGGCTGGACCCCAAGGCAGGGTTGAGGGGAGATTGCTCTGGAGTCACTAGGCGTCAACATGTCCCCAGGGGAGGGGACTGAATTCTCACCATAGCCACTGAGATGGTGTCTGTTTGTCTGAAAGCTCACTGTGTGTCCAGGGCTGTGCACAAGTATCTCGCTTAATCCAGAAGCCATCCCGAGAGGCACAGGCTACTACCAACTCCCTTTCACTGCTGAGAGTCACCGTTGGATGTGGTTTTGCCAACTTCACCCCCCAGCAACTCTTTCAGGCAGCGTAGGGTAAATGAATTAGGCTTTTTACACCACGGACCTGTCGCTGGCACCTGTAGCCGATTGTCTTAAGGCAGAAGGCGCGTGGGCGCAGGGCACGCGGGCCTGATTGTGGACACCTGGAGCATGGGTGTGCGTGCATGTGTAAGTGTGCACACCTGAGCCTGGAGGAGGGGCTAGAAGGGCAGCATCAGTCTGAGGCAAGATAAACGGAGGAGGCAGCCAGAGAAATACTGAGAGAGAAAGCTGCTCTGCCCCTGGTTCGGCATGAGAGGCCTGTAAAAAGCTACGGAAGGCTCCAAAATCATCTTTTCATCTGCAAGAACTAAAGATGAACCTACCCAGCCTGGGGTGGCTGCTAAGCCCATAGGATGGCTTTTCCCACCTGACAGATGGGGAAACAGAGGCACAGGGAGATTACACAGCTTCCCGGGACCCTGAGCCGGTGAGTAGGAGCTGGGATCTTGGCAGGGCTGGATGGCTCTGCGGAGCCTGGGCTGGGGCCAGCCCCTGAGGCAGGCCAGCCACACCCAGCTGTTTAGAGTAGAAAATTCCTGAAGCCAGATGTTCCCAGGGCAGGAGAGCCTCCTCATCGCTGAGGGCCGCATTAGTGGAAGCCGAATCCACTCCCTCCACCTGCTAGAAAATTGCTCTGTAAATTACAGGTTTAAAGGGTAAAGACAGCCCTGAGAGCACCTGGCTTACAGCAAGGTAATAATTTAGGGACTGGAACAGTCTGGTTGAGTGAGGACTTATAATAACTAATCCCACACCACGCCTCCGTCATCTCCATTTTATTGGGGAAAAAAAAGAGAAGAAAAGAAAAAGAAACAAACAGGAAGTGGCAGACCCTTGTCCAGGGCCTCACAGCAAATTAGTGACAGGTCCTGGCAGCAGCCGACTCACCAGCCCGCCTCCCCGAAGTCCCCACGGGCTTCCCTCTGTGTGTCCTTCCTTCCTCTTCTTAGAAGGACCCCAGTTCTGTTGGACCAGGCCAGCCCTTAGTTTGACCTCATTTTATCTTAATTGTCGTGTTGAAGGGCCTGCCTCCAAGTCTAGTCCCATTTTAGGTACTGGGGGGTTAGGACTTCAATACATGGATTGAATAGGGACACACTTTAGTCCACTACGCTCTCCTTACCCCAGCATGCACGCATGCACACAGACACGCAGACACGCAGACACGCAGACACACATCTGCATTCACGCCACCTGCTAAGTCAACTTAAATTGGGCTTCAGTCTCATGGTCCTAAAAGAGTCCCAGTAACGCGACCCACCATCCCTGGGGTGGTCTCTCCCAAGGTGAACCCTGTCCCTTCTCCCATCTCCTACACGTGCGTGTGCCAGCCACAGTGCAGTTCAAGTCCTCCAGCTGTGTCACACAGAGCAGTGGAGGGGGAGGATCCTAAATTCTGTTTTTTTAAGCCTACCCAGCTTACTAGTTAGAGATGCCCCTCCTCACCCCACCACCATCTGAACCCCTAAGGAATGTGGCCCCTCTGGGCTTCCTGACAGGGTGTCCACAGCACTCCATCCAGGCCACGTTCTCCCTCGGGCTCAGCTCACAGTGCAGGTCAGTCCAGAGCCAAGAGGATGGAGCTGAGGCCTCTCTGACCACATGGAGCCCGAGAACACCAGGAGAGGGGCACGGGGCATGTTCCAGGGAGAGCTGCAGGCCACATCAAGCCTCAAGGGGCCTTGACACACACCTAACAGGAAAGAAGCTGCTGTGACGAGAACCCCAAAGTCAGCTGGGGCAAAGGTGCAGGAAGTGCGGGCCAGGTGGGCAGGGGAGAAGGTGGGGTCCTTCCTCCCCTCACTGCAGCCACCGTGGCTGTGGCTTCACAACCTTGGAACTCAGTGAATGCCAGTGTCAAGGTCATCCGCAGCTTCAGACCGGCTCCCTGAACAGGGCATGCCCTCCCCCAGAGATACCTTCTCAGTTAACAAGAGTGTGGGGGTCGTGGGGTGCAGTCTGCATTCATGGGAAAGCAACTTGCAGCATCTCCAAGGCCAGCCTCCACCCACAAGCAGAAAGGTCCCCTGAGGCTGGGTTCCCCAAGACACCCTATTTCTGCCATGCCCACGAGCTGCTCTTTAAGTATTGGCTTCACCGCTTCATCTATTTGGGCTGCTCTACCAAGTGCCATCGATAGGAGCTTGGCTTATTTCTCATAGTTCTAGAGGCTGGAAGTCCCTGATCGGGGGGCCAGCGTGTCTGAGCTCTGGTGAGGCCCCTCTTCCAGGCAGTTATCTTCTCACATAGCCCCATGTTGCGGAAGGGGTGAGGGGGCTCTCTGGGGTCTCTTTCCCAAGGTCACTGATCCCATCACCAGGGCCCCTTACGGTGAGCTAAGCCCCTGCCAGCCCACCTCCAAGCCATCACACTGGGGTTAAGGTTTCAACCTGTAAATTTGGGAGAGGAAGACATAAGTGTTTTGTTCGTGACACTTAATATTTTTATATTTTAACTTGACTCAGATCTGACATTGCTACCTACGTCTCTACACTCACAGGCCAGAGATACTGGCTTTATCTTTGTTAATACATGACATGCATATATAGGTGTATACATATAGGTGCAAAGTGTGCATGTGCATACACACCAAGTGTATACGTGGTGAATACTCAAATAGCTATTGTGGCACATGCACGTCTGTGTATCCCCTGTGATCTGAACACACACGTGAGGGTGTGAGTGCCAGGCAGGGAGCCAGGCCTCTACAGCCCAGACTTCTCACCTGGCACCTGCCTGCAGGCTTCTGGGCAGTGAACATGCTCCCTCTTGAGTAGGTTCACACCGGTCCTAGCCTGAGTGGGGTGAAGGTGTTGGCTTCACAGACGGCCTACATGGACAGTCCCCATCCACTCTTGCACACGAGAGCCTGACCTGGTATTTTTACACAGTGCCCGTAACTCCTTCCCCAAACAGTTCCTGCCCACCCATGTACAGAACTTCAAGGCTTCTCCAAGTCCCTCAGTTCTTCGTCATGGTCTTCTCTCTTCTCCCCTCCCAATCTCCTCCTGCTCTGGGCACTCCCTTTATAAATATTTCCCTGAAAGTTGAAACAGTGTTCCCACAGGTCTGAGCAGTAGAACTGTTGATACAGGACCCACTTTCTAAGTGCTTTACGCAAGACCTTGTTGAGTCCTTGCAATAACCCCAACAGGCACTGTTATCTCCCCATTAGAGAAGCAGAAAATAAGACATCAGCCCAATGTCATACAGCTGGTAGTAGCAAAAGTAAATCCCAGAAGCTTTTAAACACTATATGATAACCTCCCTTCACCTAGACACTATACTTCTAGTAATATGACCATACTGCACCAGCTTTTTTTTTAAATTCACATCCCGCCATTGATTTATTTCTCTTGTGGACAGTTGAGTCAGTGCTGTGCAGGTCAAGCTTTCTATGGGAGTTTCTGGAGAAGTCTTGTTAAGAATTCAGATTCTCAGATCTCATGCCAAACCCTAGTCCAACTCCTAGGGAGTTTGGAGATAAGAGCTAGGAACCCACCTTATAAAGCTAAACTGCAGATGTCCAAGCCTCAGAGTTTCTTATGCCCTATGTGTTGTGTGGGACTCGAGCATCTGTATTTTTTAAAACCTTCTGGGGTGGTTCTGTGTCACAGCCAGGGCATGGGACTGCTCACAGGCCTGAAATAGCCACCTCCAGCCTAGCCCGTTCTCTGACCACTACACATCCAAGTCCCACTACTTGCCACTAGATGGCGAAATCCCATGGCCCTCACCATCCCCACCCAGCTCGGCCCAGAAAGGAGCCAACCAGCCCAAACCACCCAGACCCGCCTCCCCGCCTCTCAGCTCCAGGTGAGCAGGGCCCCCGATGATCCCTGCCCCTCTCTGCAGCAGGAAGAGGGTGGCTCTTGATGAAGACCTAGCTTCTGTTTCTGTTTGTCCCATGGAAGTCAAGAAACAGCTTCCGTGGGACAGGCAAAATGTGGAAGCTGGCCGCAGGGCAAGTGGGGAGAAGACCATTTGACCC